TGTTTTAATTGGTTGATCATAATCTAAATAATAATAAATTTAGAAATGTTATATTAGCTATAATAAACAATCCAACATTCATACCAGTAAATCCAGAAATAGGTTTCATGTTGATAATATTGTTACTTGAATCCTTAAGTCCTTTTTTGGTTAACTTAGTATTATTTTGTTTTTATTCATTTTTCGTAACAACTTGGCATTCATTTTCTGAACTTCTATTCTCTTGTTCTTGGTCATCTTGATCAGGATTAGAGACATTGTTGTTATTCAAGGTTGGCTCATTGTCATGGTTTGAGATTTGCTTATCATTGTAATATAAGATTTGCTCATCATTGTAATATAAGATTTGCTTATCATCATGATTCGAAATCTGCTCATCATCATTACTTAGGATATGCCCATTGTCATTACTTAGGATATGCCCATTGTCATTACTTAGGATATGCCCATCATCACCATTATTGTTATTTGAAACACCTTTGCATAAAGAAATTTTTTTTCTTTTGTGTACATTGACTAACATTTTTGGTTTGCCCTTTGATCCTTTTACGGCTAATTTGTTTTGAACAGATTTGCGTAAATATTCACCTAATTAGATTTAATACAAAATTTTGTATTAATAATCACAATAATAAATTATTATTTGCGGAGATGCACTATGTTTATAAATTAACAATATTAATCCGTTAGCCATAAATCATAAATAAGAACAAGCATTTCATATATGCCTTCATATATTTAGCACCAGGATTCTATTGTATATCTTATAATAACTTATCTGACCCATAATTCACCTATCTCAGAGAATTTCTAAGGCCTTATGCTTATTTTTTTTGATTCTGAATCCATTTTGATAGTATTGTTCATTTTTTTTTAGATATATTCCTGTTAATATATTTCTGATAATATTCAGTAGTTTTTTGTTCATCTTTTTTATTCGTCTTTTCTATGAATTGTCTATAAAATTTGAACTCAATTGACATAAATAACTGAGAAACAGATGTTAAAAGAAAAGCAAATTAATCATAAGGATCATGCAAAGTTAATTTTTCATTTTTATAACACAACATATGAAACTTGGGTCTGGTCAGTTGGTCCTATTCAACAATTTCAGAATATTCAGCTAAAAATAGTGATATTAAAAAAAAAAGGGACAGGTTATACAAAACAAAAAATAAACTTTGCATAACCTAATAATAGAGGATCAGGGATCATCTAAATTGGTACATTCCTAGGTTTGTATTACTTATACAAATAAATATTTTGTTAGTGCATCTCCAATTATGGTAACTACTTACAATGATTATTAATTATCCACCACAATATTTCATATATTGCCCAGTCACTGATTGTTTTCAGAAAAGATTGATTATTTTCCTTAAACTAAATGATTATAATAAGTATATAATTAGTAAACTTAGTGTATGTAATAAATTTTTAACAAATTTGTTAAATACTGTATACCTTTCCAATAACAGATTCAATAAGTTTTGGATCTGTATAACGATATATAGCATCGTTACAATGTTTTAAAATCTTGCGTGCACAATTTCTTAAAGCATCCCATAAAATAAATTATTAGAATTGAATTATTTAAAATAAATGCAATATTATTTACCAAATATGAAGAATATTCTTCTGGTTTGAGATGCAAAATCTGTGGAATTTTATAGTAATTATATCTTTTCACTTTAGAAATAGGCTTGATAATAAAATCATCAGGTTTAAAAAGTAGTAGAAAATTTAATACAGTATGCAAGAAATTGTTAAGATTGATACCTGTTCAGGATCACTCAAAGACCAGTCTATATCACCTGATTGTCTTTTAGCAACTAACTTAGAATTGTCCTTAGGCAACTTCACACAAGTAGTAGTTGTAGGTTTAATAGAATACTTGGTACCATATTTTTTGCCAATTTCATATTGCCTTGAGTTACCAGCTTCGTATTAAATTTGTTTGCGATTTCTCATTATTCTGGGCAGTTGATTTTATTTGATTTTTTGCTATTGGGTTTATGTTCTGAATTTGATTATCGCTTCTTTCCTTATTTATATTACGACACATCTGTTCTATTTGCTTTTCAAGCATATGGATTTTCTCAAGTTCTTCTTGATACTGAACTTCAAAGTTTTCTTTAGCATCTATATCACTAGAATAAGCACTGGTCTGCTCTTCCGTATCAGAAAGTCCCAGAGAATCTTCATTCTCAATATAATTATCATCATTATCACTAATGGCTTTACCTTTGCTCTTATTTTTTGACATAATTCTAATAATAATAATAAATTAGATAAGACTATTAGTATATAGTCTGTTTTCAACAAGTAAATATAAGAGCATATGTTTGGAAAAGGTCAAAATTAATTAAACATTGATCAGATCAAATTTATCTTTAGTGAGGTTCAGATCACATTCGTAATCAGTATTATTTAATATACACTTATTAGCGTAATTAATATACTTATGCTTTTACAAAATAAAATTTAAATATCAATTTTCGAATTTCAAACAAAAAAAAAAAAAAATGCATAACAAAGACAAGAAAGTAGTAAAATGTACTTGCAGAATTTGTCAGCTTAGCCCTAGTGGCTACAGATTGACACATAGAACAACTCAATACCAGCATAAATTAAAAGATAATTTATTAAAAAAAAAAGAATCAAAATCCGAAATACTTGAAGAAAGGGTAATTTTAGCAAGCAATCAAGAAGCTACTAATATTGATTTATATAAAGAGTATATATATATATTTGAAGTTGTTAATTTTCAAAAATATGAATACTATTTTTAGCACTAATTTATCTTTAATAATAGACAAAATCCAGAATTATTCAATAATGTTCAAGTTGAAGATACAATATTTTCTAATGCAACCTTGATTAACAATGCAATCTTGATTGACAATGCAACCTCAACTGACGATGCGACCTTGACTGATGATACAACCTCTATTGACGATTTGATATCTAATACAGAGTTTAACGATAATTGTATGTAAATTATGATTTTGTTTTGAGCAAATAATTAATATCTATTTTACACTAACTATATAGTTTAAAAGATCAACTTCTACTAGGATATTCAGAAGCATTATGATTACTAGATATCAAAGTTCAGTCAAATATGGCTAATAATGTTTATCAACAAGTGATGACAAAATTTAGTAATGAACAAATTAGCCAACACCAAGTGACAAAAATACTTACTAGTATAGTTCAGATTGAGCCCAGATGGATTGACATGTGTATAAAGAGTTGTATGGCCTTTATAGGCAAGTTTAGAAAAGCGAAATTATGTCATTATTGTGGTGAGCCACATTATGAAAATGGAAATAGTCGAAAAAAAATGGCATTTTTTTCACTTAAAGATCAGTTTATACTTCAATACACTGATTCTACCTGATCAAAAGAGCTGCAATATCGATATAATTATACAACACACCTTGAATATAATAAAAATAAATATGGTGATATATTTGATAGTGAACAATATAAAGATTTAGTAGAAAATGGATATTTTTCTGATTATCAAGACATTGCATTAGTTGGATCTCTTGATGGATATCAAATATTTCATCAGAAAACTGATGATTGTTGGATTCTATTATTTTTAAATGCAAATATTTCTCCCGAAAATCATGTAAAATGACAAAATCTCTTGATAACTGCTATAATTCCTAGTCCCAATGAACCTAAAAATTTAAATACATTTTTAAGACCAGTTGTTGATGAACTAAAGGAATTAGAAGGTAATATTATACTCACTTAAAAGTAAATTATCATTAAACTAAAATAACTTATATTTTTAGATGGAGTTGTATGTTGTGATAGATTAAAGAACCAAGAAATTTTTATTCTTCATGCCTTTATCATTTCTTGGTCAGATGACACACCAGCTTTAACTAAACTTATGTGTACTACTAGACATAATTCGTATCAAGGCTGTCGATATTGTGAATTGCAAGGTGTTTATTTTAATCATATTTATTATCCAACTATTCTACCAAAAAAAAAAAAGGGAACTATCTATGATCCAGCAAATTTACCATGAAAAACACATAGTAAATACCTTCAGCAAATTCAAAAATTAGAAAATACTAATGCATTATCTAAAAAAAATCCAAAAAAATTAGAATCACAACTTGGTAATATTTTATATACATGCGAGTATATTTGTACAGTCACACTCTCATATAAGCACCTATATAACACATTGATTTTCTGAACAACTATTATTAAATATATATAAAACCACATTTTGTCAGTCCCGATAGTGTGATAATATGGAAGTATGACTGTGCTTATATTTATATTTATATTTGAATTTAAATTCTTATTCATAATAAAGGAATTACCAAACGAAGTATTCTGTTTGAATTGTGTTCTGTAAAATTTCCTGATTCTTTTGCGATTGATATTTTGCATCTACTCTATGAGAATATTCCAAAATACATGTTTCAACATTGGTATGGATGCTTTCATCTGAATGATGCTCTAAACGATAATAAATATACATTACAAAAAAACGGCTAGAAAGATATTGAGAATTTAATGACCGAATCAAAAAAGATTATGCCTCCAGATTTTGGACATTCACTAAGAAATATAGTCACACATCGAGATGGATTTAAGGCTGAAGAATGGGCTAATTGGATAACTTTACATTCTTTGCCCTTATTAAAAAATCGTTTATCAGTACAATTTCTTCTTGGATGGTCCAAATATGTTCAAGCAGTTAAACTATGCCAAAAACGTATAATTTCTGATATCGATATATTAGAAATTCGTCAATTACTTCTGAACTTTTATAAGCATTATGAAAGGTAATATACAGTTGCACTCCTATATAATCACACTATCAGGACCTACAAAATTGTTCTTATATATAAAATGCCTTATATAGAAAACTATTTTATATATTTAATAGTAGTGGGTTCAAAAAATTAATGTGCTTAAATATGAGGTGTTTATATGTATGGGAGTATGACTGTAGTATATAATAGTTTAATTGGTTCTAATTTGTATTAAACTAAAAAATTAACTTTTTGTTAGACATTATTATAAAAGAGAAGAGGCTCGATTATCAACTATGAAAATTTGTTTCCATTATTTATTGCATATCACTGACAGTATTCAAGCAACTGGACTATGTTGGGCTACATGGCAATTCCCTATTGAGAGATTATGTGGAATGCTTCTTCTATTAGTTCAATCACGATTACATCTATATCAAAATTTAATCAATAACATTGCTATACAAGAATGTTTTAATCATCTTATTTTTTTCCTGAATATTTATAATCAAGTTTTTCCACGACGAATTACTAAAAAGAAGTATGGAATTAATATTGTGTTTACAAGTGAAAATTATCAAGAAGAATTATATTTTCCATGCACTCATTATATTTTAAATCAAACTGAAATTAAAAAATTAAAACAACATTATAAAACAATCAATTGTATGAAGGTAACAACTAAGGTAATTACTATGTTTATTAATTCTTTTATAATGCGTATTAAATTAATAACAATTTAAATTTATATCCAGGAATTTTCTACCAGTGGTTTAAAATATGCACGATTAAGAACCAAGGATGGTATCCTTGTTGGGTCATGGTCAAGAAAAAAAAAAAAGAATATCACCAGAACAAATTATACTATAGCAGTAAGTTCTAGTATCAGTAATAATAATAGTTGTCACATAAAAGCCATTACTTAAAAAGATATAATAAGCTAACTTTGTTAGAATTATCTATTTTAAGAAATTGGCTTTTAAAAACTTTGATTATATTATAGTGATACAATAGATAATGTTGGAGATAGAAACAATTGTCTAGCATTGCTGCTCTAAAAAAAAATTTTGTTGACCAAATTTCAAGATCAGATGTAAACATAGCTCTGTAGGCTTTAGTATTGTGGTCATTCAAGGTTACTAGTTCAAGTTTGGCAGAAAGCAACTATCATATTAGGATTGTATCAGCAATCAAGCAATATATTTGAAAATCAAGAACCAAATAAACTTCTGCATCAGGTTTAAATAATATTAACATTTGGCGTTAGATAATTACTCCTGGTCTGAAGAGGGTCTTACGAATTTTGGTATTTTGTAACAGTAAGTATTTTACTTATAAAACTGTCTTTGCATATAAGAGTAAGTTGTTTTTTATAAATTTTTTTAACACTATCGTAAATCATTATAAACAAGACCCAGGTCTCTATATTTCACTAATAGAATAGACCTTGAGTCTAGTATGTAGTCAAGAGTTTATATTATTAGAAAAAAAACTTTGAAGAATATGCATATTTTGCATTTTAATGGGCAGTCTAAATATCTAGAAAAAACCAGATTTGATGAATATAGATCTTATTGTTATGATTCACACCCAGTTCTACTATGTGATGGATTCACTAGGGTCTTGTATATGGTGATTTATAGTAATAAAGTTGTTTTTAGCCCAATCTAAAATCTAACTCTAATATAATTACAAACCATTTTAGATTAATAACTTTAGATTCTTGTTTCAATCTTCAATCAATATCGCTAATATATAATCAATACTATATTTATTTCTTAGATTTTTATTATACAAAACAAGCTTAACTAATCACACATATTTACTTTTATATGCTCAAATGGAAATTGATATTAATGCAGCATACCCAAAACGGCCTTCAATCTTTCAAATTCAAGAATTTTTTGAATATGTTGAATATTATTTAGTTCATGAATTTGAAGGAAAACAATATATGCTTGCATATGTTCGATGGGTCAGAAAAGTATTTGAAGATAATTTAGGTCTTCAATTTTTTAAAACTATAGGCAATACAGAATTTATCGATATCAGTATTATTGATCGTTGCGTTGGATTTTTCAATTAAAAATATTACTTATATAATTGATAAAAATGTAGATAGTTTAAATAATAGTGATTTATATATAAGCGATAAAGAGTAAATATATATAGCATTTGTATTATTCTGGCTACTTTATATATATTAAATATGAATATAAAAGTAGTAAGTAGGTTATTAGTAAAATCATATTTAATTTAAATATATTGATTATAAACATATTAGATATTAATTAGAAAAGATAATAATAAAAGTTTATATTTCTTATATACAGTAATATAAATCTAAAATTATAAAATAAATATAAATTTACTATAAAATCAATAAATAAACAATTACAAATTTACTATAAAATTTAAATATTAGTATATTATTTATATAATTTTAGTACAAAAACAATATATTTAATTAAATTTTAAATTTTAAAAATTTTAAAATAGTACAAAATTAGTATAAAATTAATATAAAAATTGTATATTTAATATAAATATAATATAAATTTAGCATATTTATTTTTTATTGGGCTGGAATGCTTCTTCTTGTTCATTGGACTAACAAATCACGATTTCTTTCTTTGTTAATTCAGTGAGTGGCTTTGCCACTTTACTGAAATTCTTTACAAAATGTTGGTAATAGTTCATAACTCCCAAAAATGAACTTATATCTCTAATACAAGTGGGTCTCTCCAATTGTTCAATCAATGCTTTGTATTTGGGATCGATCCTAATTTCATGTTTCTTTACCAGGTAACTGTACATGCTTAACTCTTTGTATACTATATGGCACTTCTTTGCCACAAAGGTGAGTCTGACTTGTTTAAAGCTTTGCACCAGCCTTATAAATCTATCAATATGATTCTTCAACTGTCTATCAGTTCAAAGACCTATATTGTCCTAGTATGCTGCATTTTCTTTTTTTTCATTACTTTCTAAAACTATATTTATTAAGCATTGAAACATCTTGCTGGCATTCTTCAACCCCATGCATATTACTATATAATGCAATACACCCAAGGGGTCAATACTGCTATCCTATCTTTATCCTCTTCCTTTATCTGAATCTGCTAATACTCTTTATAAGCATCTACAGAAGAATATCAATCATGACCTGCAGCTTTTCCAGTATATCACAAATTAAAGACAGAAGATAACTATCTTTTATTATATGCTTATTAAAGAGATGCATATCACCCACTACTTATAATTGATCAGTCCTACTGTTCTTGTTTACAGAAAAACAGTAGTAAGCATACTGTCCTATCTCTTTTTCAAGTAGTCCATTTTTTAACATATTTTATAACTGTTGCTCAAACAGCTGAGCTCTAGCTGGGTTATTAATTTTAATAGAGTGTACTCTAATAACAGAAACTTCCTTTCCTCCAGTTCTAACTTTATACTCAATCAAATTTGTTTTCCCATTTCAGAAAGGTTGAAAGTGAAGACTTCCAGAACTTTCTTTAACAAATACCTCTCAAGATATTCTCAATCATGGTCTGGAATTTCCATATTGATGTCAAAAATGTTTATGCTATTCTTTGTTAATTGCATAATTACTTCAGGCTTATTTATGTTTGCCAACCCTATCTTTGGCTCAACAATAGTGTTCCAATATAACACTTGCCCCTAATGAGACTCTGGCAACAGTTCATCATGAATCAGGTTAACCTCATAAACCTTTATTGTGTTTGCATTTTTGGCATTGTTCAATATCTGCTCACATAGGTTGTTTCATTTAATACAATCATCTACTTGAATCTTTCTTATCATCATAAAATCCTCATCTTCATTATCTACTGGTTCTTCATAATCATTACTCTCTTCCTTACTCATCCACCTTTCAGAAGCTATAGAGGTAATGAAAAACACCTTTTTTTAACTTAGAGGTGACTAAGCATCAGAACTGATCATTCTTCTATTTCAAATCACATTTGGCAGCAACTATTTATGGCATTCCAAGCAATATATCAAAACTAGCAGTCCCCATTATATAAAAGTTTTGAGTAACTACTATACTGTCAACATCTACCTTAACATTAGATATACAACCAACAAAGTTGCTGATTCTATCATTAGCCATTTTACCTTTCTTTTTGGCAGACTTCTACACAAGACCTCTTTTATTAGCATAATTAACATGCATAAGATTTAGACATGACCTAGAGTCAATAAGCATATCAATTAACTCACCATTTATCCTGACAGTTTCTATTGGGACATTGCCCACATTTTTGGTCAAACTGACTCGAACAGCCCTTACAATGCTAACATTAGCATCCAACAGTCTTATATCACTTTCCTTTTTTTTTCATATTAGGGCCCTTAATATTTCTACATAGGCTTTTGGGAACCACTTAAAGAGTTGTTCTAATTTTACTGTTATTTCGAGTTTAGCAACCTTCTTCAAAATGTCAAGCTCTTGTGTTAACTCAGACAAAGGTATATACATTACTGATCCCTCTTCTGGTTCTTGATTGATTGAAGTTTTATTAGTTTTAGTCCTCTTGTCTGGTATATATGAGTTGATTTCAGGCTCAAGGCACTTGTGCTTTCTCAGATTCCAATTCCTTATATCAAAGATTAGTTTATTGTTTGACACTTCAATTTTAAGGCAGTCTACCCTACTATCAGGTGAACCTTCAGTTACTTCAAAGTACCTAATATTAGT